GTCTTGGCTTGCATGTTAGTTTATCTAAACGGTGTTTTAAATGCTTTGTTTATTTTTTATATTGAACGAGACAGAATAGTCTTTCATTTGTGGTAGGAGAAGTCATATGACAGAGAGAGAGAGAGAGAGGGAGACAGAAAGCCGACAGGTAATCATTCTGCAAAAAATATGAAAAGGTTTCTTTCTTAATTGCGTGATTTTAAATTCCGCCTTTTTCTCTATTGAACAAACTGAACAACTGGTGAATTCAATTAAAATGATAACAGTAATTTATGTGCCTGTCAAAAACTATGTAGTGACTACATAGTATGCGACTATCTGATCTATACATATGCATAAATTTGATGCTGTTCAGCTAACCCCCTTACGGTGAATACTACCACCAACTTAAGGAATACTGTCAGCTTAACATAATTCAAGCAGGTTCGTCTACGGGTTCGAGAGCACTTACCAGCTTGGTTCAGCAGGCGGGAAATTAAGTGCATAAAAAGCTCGATCCTGTCACACTTGGTCGATACTGGACATCGTATCGATGTCAACACAGCTTTCAGGGTTATATACCGAATTCCGAAGTCGTTATCCGTACAGTTCGCTTACGTCTCCTACACATGGCTGAAGCTGTTGCAATAAGATCGACTAAACCGGAACATTGTATCCTACCGTGGCCAACCTTGGATTGAAGATTTTTCTTCTCACCAAGAGTGCTCCTTCCCCTTAACCCTCTTGGTTTTTTCTTTTCTTTCTTTTTTACTTTGCTTATTATTACAAATGTTATTATTACAGTTATCATTATTATTCGTCATAATTTATGCCCTTTATGCAAACATTCCCTCAATACTATCGAATTTTCATTTATACGGACTTATTATTAGTGATATTGCCTGTTTTCTCAATATATGCCTCCACCTGTTTCATTTAACATATTCGTTATCTCACTATGAACCTCTCATTCCACTCTTACTATCTCCTGTTTAACAGACCACTTTGTACTAGCCACTCACCTGACACCTTCAATAACCTTGAACTGACTTGTGAATTTTCCTGCCCCACACTCTACAATTCTATTATGATTAATCACTACCATTGTCTCCCGTTTTACAATATTTTTGTAATCGATTTCAGCCTAGCACGTTTGTCACACAAATACGACTATTTATTTTGACACCCCACAACTAATCTGTTATTCTACGTTAAAAATGTATCCGCCGCATAACTGACTGTCATTATTGTAACGACTACAAATATTATATTTTATAATTGTAAGAACCTGAAGAGAAATTATTGAAAAGAATATTCTTCGTTCAGATTGACTTTTAATTCATAATTCAAGCAGTTAATAAAAGTCAAAATATAATATAACGTTAGTTGGGCACAAGTTGGTAACGAGTTTAAGTTTCCGCAACGTGTATATCACGAATTTCCTGGAATAATTTGAACCCCACTTCAGAGTGAATGTCTACGAATTATTTAAAATAGTTCCAGTGAGTTCCAGGAAAATCTTGTTTTTTTATTTTGCTGAAGGTTTCACTGTGTAAGCCACAGCTTCTTCAGCACAATTATTCAGATTTTATTAACCATCAAAATATATATATATATATATATGGTCAAAAATGACATAAACTGAAGTGAGTTCCTTTTAATGCATGTGTAAAACTTGGGCAGTGTGGTAGTAAGTAATTCCATATTAGTTTGTTTATTAGATCTATCCATCACACAGGGAAACAGTATTATTTACTGGATAACAGCGTTTCGAACAAAATTTATTGTTCATAATCATATCAATTGTAATCACACGACTTTGAAACTTGAGTTTTATAGTTTTCTTTGTCTTCTCCTATTTTTCGTCGTTAGGGTAGTAGAATTTTCCAGATGTTCAATTGAACAGGTGTGTTGAATCATTCCTATTACACGTATTTGCAGTTGATTCGATAAACAAAGCTTCTGTTATCAATCTCTCCCTCTACCCTGTGAAATAAGATTTTAAAACTGTCATCCTATCCCATCCATCCTATTGTATGGTTGTGTGTAATTGCATGTAGTGAGTGCTATAGCTGAACTATTCTGTAGATTTCTTATCTTATTTGGATCAGCCAATCTAGATTTTGCTGCCAGGGTTTTATGTTCGGCTAGTCTGACTGAAGTGAGTTCCTTCGATGGTCATTGGCCGGTAGGCATTTGTACTAATAGAAAAATGTTAACAGTCATCACATATTTGTAATGACTAATGCTAAGTTTTGACTGAAAATGGTTATCTGAAAAAGCTCCTTAACAATATTATCAATCAAAAGGACTAGAAAGGAAAGCATAAAATTGGCTATCGTCGATGGCCATTCCATATCGAAATTAGAAAGCTGAACAACTTCGAAGACAACTTCTCTAGAGAAAGCTTTGGTGAATGTCAAACATGACACAAAACAACTATGTCGATGGGATAAAAAGTTCAGAATGTGGAGCTTGCCATTCACGTGAACATAGATAAAACAGAGATGATGAAGATTCCTAGCCAACATCAACAGCAACAACAACAACAGACAACAATCAGCATAAGTGGGGAGAAACCTGAAAGAAACAACCTCCTTCACCTACCTGGGAAGCATCGTCTCAACTACAGGCGGAACTGACGAGGACATCAAAGCCAGAATCGGAAAAGCAAGACAAGCTTTCATTACTCTCAATCTGTGTGGAGGTCAACAGCACTCAGCATCAAAAATAACATCCGGATTTTCAACTCCAATGTGAAGTCAGTGCTACTATACGGATCAGAAACTTGGCGAGTCATAAAGAGCATCTCAAACAAACTTCGAACCTTCATTAACAGCTGTCTCCGCTCAATACTCAAGATCAGGTGGCCAGAAAGATCAGCGCCAGAGAGGGATCCCTGGGAGCGAACCAACTCATCAGGAACCGATTGTGAAACAAATAAGCAGGAAGAAATGGAGATAGATTGGCCATACCCTGAGGAAACCATCAAGTGACTTCACTAGACAAGCCCTCGAGTGGAACCCGAAAGGGAGGCGACGAGTTGGCCGTCCAAGGGTGACTTGGAGGAGGTCATGCGAGGAGGAGATGAAAGCATGTGGACAGACCTGGAGCAGGGTGAAAAAGTTGTCAGGAAACCGAAGGCAATGGAGGTGCGCAGCTGAAGCCCTATGTTCCTCTAGGAACTAAAGGATACAATAATAATAATATAATAGTAGACAGATGAAGGTCAGAATGAATGAACACAGACTGTGCACGAAACGTCCGCCTAGAAATGAAGTAGAATTAAAACCCTAGAAAAAAAAATGCTATAGACTGCGGACATAAGATTGATTTCCACAATGTCGAAATTCTAGAAAGAGGCTTTCATTCACATAAATAAAGGCTGATCTCTGAAACCCTGCATATTTTAACCATATAGAATGCAGTAAATAAGAGAGAAGGGACAAACTTATCACCTACCTAGGTAGTAGACTCTAGTGGATCAAGACAAATGAGAAGAGACAAAAACTGTTCACTCTTATGTTGTGACCTCTGTAAAAAATATTATCACGTTTTGGCGTGTTTTCCACATAACAGGCAAAAAAAACACTCACACAGACAAATACGCATATTTGACAGTTTGACATTAGTCATTACAAATATGTGATAACTGTTTACATTTTTCTGTTAGCACAACTATCTACCGGAATGTGATCACCAAAGGAAAGCACTTCAATTTATGTAATTTTTGACCATATATTTTCATGGTTAGTAAAATCTGAATAATTCTGCTGTAGAAGCTGTGGCTTACACAGAGAAACCTTCAGAAAAATCTTGTTTTGACTGTTTTCTTAAACACACTGGAACTGTAAAAAATAATTTATAACGATTAGTGTAATATGTCTATTCCTTTGTTTGGTGCAGACTGAATTCTATCAGTCACGTTTGCAATGTGACCACCATTCTAGGTGGTTTGCCATTACTTTGAATATTCAATACTAGATGGTTGGAGGAAATCATTAGGAAGCCTTGGTTGGCCTAGGTTTCATACTTGTTCGTAGTTATCAGCAAGCCGTATCCGCAACCTTGAAAGGATTCATGTTCCTTGTGAAATTTGAATCCGCGTTAGCCGTCTTCGCGAGCAAGAATAGCTTTGACTGCAACACTAGTACACGTGTGTTCAAATCTTAGAACGGACATGAGTTTCTTCAAGGTTGCAGATATGCCTTGCTGACGATTTACAGCTAGCAAGAAAATTAGGTCCAGGGCTTTCTGCTGATTGCCTTCAACCATCAAATATCAGAATCTTAACGTGTTGCAACAAGGGCTTTGGAAATAAAAATGTACATGAATATTCAAGAGTCAGTATGTAGGGATTTGATTTACTTCCTGGTCATCAGAGATTCTCCAACATTCATTCATGATCATACTTGGGACAAATTAAATCCTCACAAACTAAATCTCGGAGATAATTCTCATGCTGGCTAGCGCATGACTAGCTACAAGACAAAATTCCCTGGAATTCTAGTGAATAGCCGTGACCAGTGGGGTTCACTTAGTAGGCAGCGAGGATTAATACTCACCGGTGACACTGGCTGATGATTGCTCTAAAATTCGCGGGCTGGTCATTCAGTCTGGTCCCATTGGCTGAATGGCCTGTGAGCTCGATTTGCAACCGGAAGGTCCCGGGTTCAAACCCCGGCAGATGCGTACTGAAGAGGAGTTTGAACCAGGACAAAACAACTGTTCGGTTATCCCTGGATTTCATTGTTTCTTTAACTGATATCATCCTAGATCAAGCTTGATACATGAATATATGTTGTGCACAATCTCCAGAAATATGTCATTTATTACAGGTCCTTAAGTGTAGAGATAAACTTGAATTGTTAGCAGAGTTCTTCAATACATTGTTGTGATTCCGATAATCTCTAAAGGCCATTCATCTTATGAAATCATTTGTATGCTAAGATTTAAAATTCCACTATAAATATAGGAAAAAATGTACTACTAAAAAACTGAATTTACATCTTGTCGTTTACCTGGTCGTAAGAGTTGGCACTGTCGGGACTGTAGTCAGATATGGTGAGCAAAGCTGATTAGGCAACTCTATACAGTTGAAAGTATACCAGACATTTGAACGACCACCTGTTTCTATTGGTTCATTCCAGGATAACTGCACTCTAGCTGGATCACTCAGATTAACAGTCACATTCCTCGGTGCTGATGGTATTTCTGAAAAAGAGGGAAATATTTTCTGTTATACACCAAAGATAAGTATAGAAATAGAAGGTTCCAGTAAATCGCTGTTTATGAGAGCATATAATGTAATGTGGAAAAGAAAACGTTTCGTTGCTGGAACAGTTTCGACATAAAGTTCATCAAAATTGTAACATATACTAAATTTTTGTCTTCCTTACAACTCAAAGTAAAACGTCAAATGGAAGTTATGTAATACATTATTCTTCTATTTATTCAAGGCACACAGAAAGATTTCTTTTCGGCGAAATTGATTGGAAAAATCTGCCACAAAGATGAATGACAAGTGCACTTATTGGTCACTGGGAAGTAACCAGATCTTTGTATCTGAATTTTATCACCTAGCCAGTCTAATGATGTGTCCACAAACATATACTGAGCTTCAGGAGTTCCTGTCAAGTGACTGCGTATATCTAAATTTAGTGACAGATACAAACCGAGCAGTCTTCGTTTATCGTAGTCTTTAATCAGAATTAAAGTGCACGGAAAATTAAGCTTTGACAGTGACATCCTGTTTCAACCCTATTCTAGCTAGCACGGGACTGTTTCAGTCAGTTTTAGCCGCCTTCTATTAGCAGTTGAATAAATTTCATTAATTAGAATTGGCTACATTAATCTTTGTCAAGCAGTCACCGTTGTCAAAGATCAAAAATTAGAACTTAGAGGATATTAAACATTTTACAGTCATCATGCTGCGACGCCAATTTCCTCTTTTATTTTTAAATACTGGGTTTTACAAACAGTTAACATATTTTAGTTGCGAAAAGTCTTTCGGTTTTGTGAATTTAAAATTCCCATACATGTATGTATGAATCTATTCTAGATCACCTTCTTTCATGAGGCGATAGAACACCGGTTGGGACGCTGGCCGACAATGCAAATGGTTCGGGGTTCAGTCCCTGGCTGACGCATACCTGATATCAATGACCAGCTTGCCGAATTTAGGCTACCGATATCACATGCTGAAAATTCCATACTTGTACCAAAAAGTACTGCGTGGAATCAAGCCATAATAAAAAGTAAAAGGCAAAAAAAGTAAAGCAAATACAGAACACTAGGTACATTAGTTATTCATATAGACGTGCAGATCTGTAAATGTTGAACTGTTTTATTGAGACATTTTCACTTCTTCTGTCGTCATTCTGTAATGGGTAGGATAATATAGATGATATCAGTATTATAACGACTGTATTCCAGCAAAACAGTGGGTAAATTTTATTGCTCTATTGGAAGGTATAAAAAATGACGTCTATACGAAATGCGAAAATCCACTATACCGTCAGGATTTCTGAAGCATTAACCACTGAACTTCAACAGTTTACAACAACGTTAAATCAAAAAGTACAGATGAAGACTTTTGGTTGTATAGTAGTAACAGGGTTGAATTTTGAAAGTACTCCAACAGTCAGACGGTGGCAACCGTAAATACAAAGTAAAAAATACACACAGCTGATTTCGACAAGCGTACTATATAAGCACACGAGTTATTTATTGAAGAGTTTCAATCGGAATCAAGTCATAGGTGCAATAGCCTAATCTTTCAATAGAAGAAAAACCAATTTAATTAAAACAAAACACGTAGTTCAGCGAAGAGTCTTTCCACTGGTGAATTCATTCTCTTAGCTGTACAATCACAAATATATATATATATGAGTTGTTTTGCATGTATGTGTACATTAAGTTTGTCAAACAAAAATACAATTGGTTATGGTTATTTTAAGTAAACAGGTGAAGATTGATAATTGGAGTTAGTTAATACAAAATTAGTCAAGAAAAACTGGTAATAATGAAATTAGGGCAGTAATAGTTCATCTGCTGCTGTGGAGCCATGTACACCGGTCGTTTGACGCGGACCTGTCCAAGAGGATTCAAGAACACTATCTAGCATGATTGCGAAAAGGCAATAGTGGTGCAATAGGGAGTGAGATAATTGAACACCTGGTTAACACTGATCATTCCATCTCAATAAACGCCTCCTTCAAAGTAATCAACGGAGTCATGAATAATTTACCAGAGGCAATACAGTTTCGTCTTCTTTGTATCACTGAAGCTGTGGCCATTCACATAGAAAAATCGGAGCTGTGCATACAAAAGAGAATTATTCAACCACTTCTACTGTCATGAAAACAACTTTGTTGATTTTTGATGACTTAATTTTGTTTGTTTTCTGGTCTTTAATTGCTTAGAATTCTTCTATTCATTTAGAACTCTTACGTGATTTCGTATTCTCTTCTTTGTTCCTTTGTGTATCCTGAGTAAAACTCAATCACCAAACTATTCATATTATTACATAACTTCTTGTTTTACAACTGTTTGTGACGACTCCACCTTTGTTACTACCCTAATTTCCTTATTACCAATTTTTTCTGACTAATTTTGTATTACCTAACTCCAATTATCAATCTTCACCTGTTTACTTAAAATAACCATAACCAATTGTATTTGTGTCTGACAAACTTAATGTACACATACATACAAAACAACTCATACATATTTGCTATTATACAGCTAAGAGAATGAATTCACTAGAGAAAAGAGACTCTTTGCTGAACTACGTATTTTGTTTTCATTAATGCCTCGATGGGATCATCCATGAATTAAAAACCAATTTATTGAAACTGGCTAACAGACAGTGAAAATCTATGAAGTTACACTCAAGAAGGGAAATTATGGTACGGCTTTTATGTTTAGAAGATGAGCGTAGTTGAGTGCGATATGAAAAATCTGATTTGTAGATGATAAACTAAACACTTATATTAAAGATATATGAAACTGATAAAGAATCTTGGCATCTAATGATAAAATCTATTTAAAAGACTGATTAATGAACAAGGAACATTCTTGACGGTTAATTCCTCACCACGTTCTACATTTATATGGTGGTAATAGTCAAATAATTATTCTTATTAACAACAGTTATGCTGCTTTAAACTACACTGAATCAATAGTACAAAATGCTTACAATTCAAAAGCATAAGTAAGAGGTAATATACCTCCTGTTGGCTTAGGTGAACTTCAGTGGCCTCTTCTGTCTTGTAGGGTTCAGTATCTAGAGACCTTTGGTAATTTATTCGACACCCGACAGATGATAGAGAAAGATTCTCCAAGGCCAGGTGTATGGCCCGCATGGACCAAACTCATCCTCTAGATACCAAATACTCCAAACAGAAGAGACCATTGAAGTTCACTTAAGACAAGAGGAGTTCTGCCTGCAAAAGAAGCAGGTTCAGTCAGCCACTATGGCTACTATGGCTTGCTATTGAACCGATCAATTCATAAATTAATTCTCTCTTACATCCCTTAATTTACTTGATGTTCAGTCAGTATCTTGTTGCATGTGATGCATATTATCTCTCACTCTTACTGATGCTTCTTCTGAGATGTAATCACCCATCGTTACCATTGATTCGATACAATTTAAAACAGCATTAATGCTGTTAATAGCGATACATCTTTAACTATTACTGTCATATAAATGTAGAACGTGTGAGGAATTAATCGTTGAGAATATTGTTTCTTCAAAAACTAGTCCTTTAAAAACTACTCAACAAATATGAAGTCACCCGCAAACTGTAACCAAGTTGAATTAATTAAGCTGACACTGTATGGAATAACAGGAATGTTTGAAAAGGGTAAAAAAAGCAATAAAATTCATTTCATTTTGCCAACTCTCGTTAATTAACATTTAGTTATACGTTGTGCAACTTAGGGAAGTGGGTACTGGTATTGCCTTAAGAAATATGTATGAAGTATAACTTAAGTCTCACAGATGAGTATTTTCAAGGTAGTAGATTAGTCACGCCACTACTCATTCATTATAGCTGTTCCCTTTGGTTCCAAGTGGATCATATGGCTTCAACAATACATATCCACTTTTTTTGTCGTCTGGCATCCTCTTCAGATAGATCCACGATTGCTTATAATCTCTGATCTCCTGCTCGCCACACGACTTCTTACATGACACCATACACCGACGACCCACTCATCGCTTCCTGCATTGCACGCGGTGTCATTCGACGGCCTCCCCAACACGTACGCCTAATCTATCTATCTCCATTTTCTCCTACACATATTCGTTGAGCGATCCGTTCTTAGTTCATTTGTTTCCAGCCAGAGTTTCTTGTTGCTAATTCTTTCTAACCGGCCGGCCATTTGATCTTCATTATGGCGTCAACGAAGTGAACAGCTGTTGATGAGGATCTGTAACTTGTTGGAAATCCTTTTCGTGAGTGATAGAAAGTGCAAGTTTCAGACTCGTATAGAAGAACTGATTGACTTCACATTTGTGTTGAAAATGCGAATATTGATCTTTGTGCTGGCTGAGTAGTCACTGTAAGACATTTCCAAACTGCTTTCAGGCTGTTAAAGGCGTATCTTGACTTTGTGATTCTGGCCTGATTTGACATCTTCATACGTTCCGCCTGTAGTTGAAACGATGTTTCCTAGATAAATGAAGGAAGTAACCTGTGTTAAAATCTCTCTCATTAATGGTGATTGGTGCTGACTGTCGTTGTTAGTTTTTTGAGGACATTCCTTTACAAGTATTTAGTAAACGCGAATGACTACCGCTTTCATCCGCAACTTAATTGTATGCAACAGTATGGGTGACTGAACCTAAATAATTATACTATGATGGACTTTTTGAGTTAAAACAAACGTTTGCAATTAACTGTACTCTCATTATTACCACAGATGGAGTATAATTTAGTGTTTGGAAGAATTTTCTAATTGGTTGAGTCTATTACACTTTTGGAAAAACCACTGGTTATGAGCGAGACCGACTGGTTGTAGTCTAAAGGCAAGAAATCTCTTTTTCAGTCCTACTGTCTAGCTGACACAACTTTCTGAAGACAAGCTCAGTCACAAACACTTGAAAGACAGCAAGAACTATGGTTCTTCTCAATAAAAGTGGTATCAAAAAATTAAAAATTACCGCGATAGTGCTATTAGGCAGTTATACAGACAATTTAAATTTC